ACCCCACACCGTGGAAGACATAGATTTTTCAAAAAAATTCTTAGAGATATTCCCTATTGCTCATCTCATGTGTTCATTTGGAACGAAGCGAGAGCAAGATAACACTAGGATTCCTTCATGAATCGTTTGAATTCGACTTTGATCTATTTTTGTGACACGAAAAAGTTCCTGTCTGCTCAATAAAACGAGCTATTGGCATAAAGAAATGCTTGAATGAATAGTTTGTTACTAAATTTTCCCATATTAGAGATGAAAAACCTATTGGTTAACTTTCTTCAATGCCTAAACAATGTCAACATCCAACTTGAATACGTTGGTATGCGAGAATATTGATGTAAATTTTCTTATTATAACAACGCATAATGCAAAGGAAGAGAAAGATGTATAGGGGGAGAACATGGTGAAAAAAGTGAGCACGTGCAATGATGAGTGTATACTTACGAAGGCAACTGCCTACCTTTTGTAAATGTCATACTCCATTTATGCATATTATGAGGCATAGGCTGGAAGAAACCAAATAATTTCGTCATCGATAAATACGTAGCAAAGTCAGTTGCGAATACGTAAAAAAGAAAATTCATACATTTCAGCACCATTTAGGACGTGCGTATACTTGATTTTCAACTTATTTAAGAGATATTCCATGATGTAATAGAGCAATTTTTAATAGCGCCATACTCTGTAAAAAAAAATCATACTGCGCTCTTTCCACAATCATTTATTATAGCACTGTACATTTTAAATAAATTCTATTTTCTTAAAAGTTGAGTTAACAAAAGCTGAAAATGTTTTCGAACTATTATTAAGGGGGTGGGTGTGAGTGTGGGGATGGATGGGTGTGTGTGAACTGAAAATTCACACCAACAGTCATACACACACCCACACCCTCACTTGTTTTGGGTGGGGGAAGGGGTCTTCACTTTTGCTTCTAGTGATATTTAGAGACGTTTATAATTAAAAACAAAGGAGTTAGGCTTTTAAAAACAATATATCCTTTACTAGTTGACTTATTTATGTGACAAATCTAGAGGAAAAAGAAACCAATGTTTATTAGGAAATAATTTTTTTTCAAATGAGATAAGCCTGAATGAAAAGAAACGTACTATAACTGGTAGTTTGGTGAATCTAAGAAACAATATGCTGTATAATAATCAAAGAATTTTCGTCTTGAATTTTGATTAAGTTTTTGAAAGAAAAAAAAAACAACATCAGGAAGATGTGTGGTATCCTGCGTAAATGTTTCTTCAGGATGTGGGTGTGAGTGCTATTTTTCTCTTTAATTTGACTCTCACACAGTCGCGCCCAAATCCTACGTTCCTTTTTGTCTCGCCAATAACCAAGCTTAGTCCACAAAGATTATTTTTTTCAATGATAAAAAAAACACAGAAATGGAAGTAAAAATAGTCGATAGGCTGCAAACAGCGATCTTTTAACTTGAGATTATCGAGATATCGTTAAAAAATCAACAAAGCCACTCAAGTACGCAACAACTCAAAATAAAATAAAATAAATTATTTGAGTTTGCATACCGCTGGCGGACATGGGATAAAATTACTGCTGTTCTGTTCCAAAGGAGAGAAGCAAGTCACCTTTGTTTTTTTTCTATTCAGCGACAAAAAATATCATGTTGCAATCTATGAAGGTAAAGTAAAGTATTCAAAACAAAATAAGATATATGACTATTCTTGTCATACATATCGCTTGTTGGTAATTTAATATCTTTCAATATCTCATATATATATACGTACTTATTATATTTTCAAAATATATTTCAGATGAAATATTTAACTGAGCCATACATTCTGTCAACATGTGTTCGCTACCAATTTTCCAGTCTGGTATTTAATGACTGACTGATCATACGTTCCAAGTATAGAATATAACAAGATAATTATTTTTCTTGAGATACACCTTATATAGGATGTTTAGCGAATTTTATGAGATATTTTTCAACATGATCGCTTCGAGAAATACCACAATGAGGGTATGGGTGTGGTTGTAGTTTAAGAAATCCTATTCACACACCCACACCCACCCTTGTTCTGTTCTTATCTCTGGTGTAGACCAATTTTTAGTCGAAGTACTGTTTCTCATTCGTGTTCGCTTACACCCTTTTTTTATTGCTAAAGAAAGACCAAAGGTGACTTGCTTCTTTCGTTTGAAAAAGAACAGCAGTAATGTTATTACATACTCGACGGTTTTATGAATATTGAAGCAGTTCGTTTCTCTTATTTTGAGTTGCTGAGCATTTCAATGGCGTGTTAATTTTTTAATAACATTTCGACGGGGTAGGTGTAAAGATTTCTGACGTGATACAACGATAAGAAATAAAAATGTAGGCGACGTGCAGAGAGCTACCAACATTATATCATTTATATCTGAAGAAAAGTTATATGAAAACGATTTTAAATTTTTAAAGAATATGGTTTGGAACCGCAAATGTTCATGTAGATGTAACACTGGTCGTCTACGATTTGAAAGTGATCCGATAACAACATGCTCATCAACATCTGCACGGAAGCCGTTAGAGCAAAAACAACCATGTCTATCCTTCCGATATTAATAAGATTTTGTACACCTTATTTATGGATATCGAGCTTTTGGAACGCACGCACTCAAAAACAACAGATTCCATATTTTTCCATATCATATTTATACTTTTTTTGCATATATTATAATGAGAAATAAGCCTTTTCGTCGTGCAAAATGAAGATCGTATATGGTCTTTGTAAATATGATCAGTAAATGACGCTCATTATCATTGTAAAAGATTTTATTGCTTCGTACACAATATTATGAAACGAGATAATAGTATAGAGTCTTATCTTAAGTGAAAATTTGATCATTTATGGTTATTGACGAATGTATTTGTTTCGTATAAGAATTTAAAGCAATAGAAAAAAAAGGACTTTTTGTATTCTCGTGAATCATCAATGTTTTATTTTGAATACTAGGCGTTGTAATTATATTCTATCGTTTAGAAATAAGCATAAAATACAGTAACTACTGATTTGTTTGAACAGTATATTGATGTCGAGTGCGTCGCTTCTCTCGTTACCACCAGAGATTCTTTATCGAATTCTTGATCATCTCGATGCTCATTTTATTCTTATTTCGCTTCGATCTCTCTGCAAGCGATTACAAGCCATTGTCGAAACTTATGATCGATATGAACTCAATCTTTTGACAATGTCTTGTACGCAGATCAAACTTATATTTCATATCATTCAACCAGAAAAGATATGTTCATTGATTCTATCCATTGGCTCAAATACAGACGACATTCGTGAACTTCGTCAACTGCGTTTTCTAACTCTTATTGAAAGCAACTCCTATGATATTAGTCGATATTATTCGAAACGTCAGTTACAAGAGAAAAACCATATGAAATCATTTGCACTTGTTTTATCAGCAATCATCAATCCTAAAGTTCGAAAATTACATTTAAAAAATAGTGATTACATAACCGAACAAATATCCTGGCCATCCCAGTGTGCACTGCAACATATCACATTAGGAAACTGTACGTATACACAATATCATACTATTCTGCGTAGTTTATCGCAGTTACAGACTTTTGTAATGAAAGATTGTACCATAAGTGATGATGAGAAAGTATTCCTAAATTCGTACAACCAATTAGTTTCTCTAACAATCGGTGACTGTAATTTGTCAATCAATGATATTGAATTCCTTGTGTCAAAAACACCTTCACTTGTACATTTCAAGTTGGGCTCTTGTCGAAAAGTCTATGACTCAACTTTCAGTGGTTCTTGGTGGGAACAATTCTTCAAGACTAATCTTCCTAATTTAACCAGATTTCAGTTTTTCTTCTCCTATACTTTTAACAAAGACGATGTTATTACTGGAGTCGATTCACTTATTGATTCATTCCAAACACCGTTCTGGATAAACATGAAGTATTGTTTTGTCCAATGTGACTATGTCATGACACGAACAATGATCAATCTTTATACAACACCTGTTAATATGGATAGTATTGACTCCTTATTTCAATCAATTAAGGCAACTGATTCTCCTGTTGCCACAATCAGATGGAGAATATCATCAAACGATGTTATGTGTGGTTCTACGTTGGCATGGACAAATGGAATACTCGATTACTCGGAAACACAAGTATGTTCTTAGAAACATGTTTATGAACTTTTATCAGTAAATTTTCTATTCTCACTGGTTTCAATAGATTTTTCTTCTTTTCTTTTTGTCAAATGTATAGTGAAACAGCCAAGAAACTGCCGCAGAATTGTTATCTCAAACAGAGTCCTACCAATTGCTCGCTTAACAATAGTATTTCGAGTTAGATTTAGTCTACCAATGATTTCATGACATCGTATTCTAAAGTTGCGGCAAAAAAAGTATCCTTCGGATTCTCTGATACAGTACTTCATGTAGTACGAACAAGGTATACGGATCTCAGAACTATTTGAAGTACACGTCAACATACAGGCACTTGGTATAAATTTTAGAATGAAAATTTCCAATTTGAATAACGCCCAAGATCCTTCATTCATCAATGTAGAAGACGTGTGCATTGTACTACGATTGCTAACCCAATAAAACTTTCATGAAACGCTATTTTCAGTCGGCGCCGATTACTTAATTAACTTGAAAACATAGTAATAGTTTTGAAGTAAGATAGGCGTTTCGAAAAATCTGAGTATTTCAAAAATCAGTTGTTTAAGTTAAATGTTTTTCCACAGTTTTAGAACACGAGATTTTGCATCAAAATTCTTATAAAGACTTCATGAAGAAATAGAATTTTCATAGAAATCAAATCATATACGGGTACTCCACAGCATTTTTTCAGTATCTATCAAATAAACACTGATTTGATTCTTTTGATTGCATTATATTCATCTATTGTATTCTAATACAGACGTTTACAGTTTTAAATCTTCGATCAACTCGACTCGAACACACACAATTGACATATCTGACTCATGCATTACGAACGAACAAAGTAACTATCAGTCTTTTTTCATCAGTTTAAGAATGTATGTATGGTGAACCAGGTTGTAGCAGGGCTTAGTAAAAATGCGAGTGCTTTGAGTTAATTGGTGTAAATATTGATGAAGAAATACATCAAAATCGGTCCATATTCTTATTTATTTCTCTTGTATACAAACTCATTCACTCACTATAAAATAGACTCTTACGACGCTGAATGTCAGTTCAAATCAAATTGAGGATGAAAATGCTGTGCAACTGGCTGATTTATTGAAAAACTCTATGGTACTTACAATTTTTATTTTTCGTCTTTTTCTCAAAAAACGTAAGTCCTCTTTACCTAGACACTTACTGAATTGCATCTCCAACGGAATGCAATAGGAGATATTGGAGCCAAACACTTGTCACATGCACTAGAAATCAATACAGTTATTGTCAACATATACTATAATCGATTACATTCATCTTCATTTTTGTATTATAACATAGACACTTACTACATTAAATATTCGTTCCAATCGAATTGGTACAATGGGAATAAAATACATAGTAGATGCATTAAAACATAATAAGGTAGCTTACACTTCCTTATTCATTTCTTCGTTTCAAGTCCACTTGCTCTCATTCATATAGAGTCTCAATAACCTCAATGTGGCGCAAAATCAAATAGGAGATCTCGGAGTACAATATTTGGCAAATTTAATAGAATACAATACAGTAAGTATTATCAACTATCATATCACCCTTAAATAAATATCACATAGGTACTTATTACACTAAATGTGGAATCGAATGATATAGGAGATATTGGAGTGAAATATCTGTTCGATGCATTAAAAACTAACAATGTATGATTATGTAGATATTTATTTCTCTCATTTGTTTATTTTCATCATTTTCTTAAGGTACTGACAATGCTTTACCTTGCTCGAAATCAAATCAGTGACGAAGGCGTTCAACATCTCGTCAATATTTTACAAAATACAACGGTGACACATATTCTCCCATATTTTTTTGCATTTCTATTTAAACTTGATGATACAGACTCTAACGACGCTTGATCTTGGATACAATCAAATTGAGAGTCAAGGAACAACGCAGATTTTCAATGCATTACAAAATAATAAAGTTACTTTTACTGCTCGATGATGCAAATCAAATTCATTCGATTAATTTAAACAGACACTAACAAGATTCAATCTTGCTGATAATAAATGTGACGGTTGCACAATAATGAAGACCATTGCTACATTAAATGATAATGTAATAATGATTTCTTGTTATTTTTATTATATATTTTCATTTAGACGATCACATTTCTCAATATCGGATCACATGATATTAAAGATAGAGGAGTACAATTTCTGGTAGATGCTTTAAGAAATAATACGGTATCATTCATTCTTTCTTCAATATTATTACAAAAATGTTAATTATTTCATATAGAATATTACATCAATATATCTTGATAGAAATCATATCAATAGCAGTGGTGCACAATATCTTGCAGATCTGTTAAAGACTAATAAAGTAATGTTGATTTCTTGTGCATCTTTTTCATCGCTATTTTTCCTTTCCGTGTAGACATTGAAAACATTAAACCTTCACAGAAATCATATCGGAAATGAAGGAGTTCAATATCTTGCTAATGCACTTGAACAAAATACAGTGATTCTTTCGTTTTCATTTATTTTTGATCTCTAGCATCAATTTTGGTTTAGAACTTAACTAGATTGGATCTCTCTTACAATGATATTGGAAATGAAGGTGCTGAATATTTGATCAATGCATTACGAAATCAAAAGGTGTCTTTCTTTCCAATATATTTCCCTTGAAATATTTTCACTGATTCACACAGACAATGGAAAAAATCTATCTTGCTGGCAATCCAATGAGCAAATACATGGCAGTATCGACAAGTATTGTTATGCCAAAAATACGAGTAACCTTCCTACAATTTGTCTTTTTACTTCTATCTGAAGTCTTTGCTTAACTATTGCTTTTAGTCAGGAGTTCATATGATTATTCGAGCAGAGAAACTAGGAGACGAAGAAGCTAAATATTTATCAAATGTATTGATCTATGCTAAGGTTAATTTCTTTCTATGATTATCTCTATGACATTGACTTTCGTTTGCTTTCAACAGACAATCAAAGTCCTTGACCTTCGAAAGAACAAAATAACAGACCAGGGACTAGGATACATCGCCCACTCATTATCCAATAGTACAGTAAATACTTCTAACCAAACACAAGTATTTAATAAATCTTCATTTGTTGATTTTTTTACAGATGCTAACCACACTCATTCTTCACGAAAATCTGATCAGTCATATCGGCGTACAAGAACTAGTTCTTGTGTTAAATAATAATAAAATGGTAAACATATTTGTTTTGTCCTATTCTTTTAAAAACTTTCCTCGTATCATAGTATACAGATTTGAGGATAGTAGATCTTAAGAGAGATGTCCCATTTTAAATTGAATTTCTTTTATCACATAGGCATTACGACATTTGGATCTCGGTGCAAATGAAATCGGAGACGAAGGTGCAAAATATGTTGCTAATTTTCTGCAGAATAATACCGTAAAACTAGTTTTCTTGCATGACTCTGATAATTATTTAGTTTATTTATTCTAACACAGACACTCCACACAGTCAACCTCGAGCATAATGATATCGGAAATAAAGGAGTACACTATCTGCATGATGCGTTACAGCATAATACAGTATTTTTCATTTACTTTTAGCGATTACTTCATACTCATCTTCATTAATTATCATAGACACTGAAAAATCTCTGCCTAGATGATAATCCCGGCAATGGTTGCGCAATTTTAGAAGCCGTTATTCGGACACGACACGATAAGGTAATCACTTGTTACTACATAGGGGTATCCAAAAGTAGTGGCAACGACATTTTATTACCACATATTAAGGTCGATAAAAATTTCTTTTTACATAGGATGATAGAGCGAAAAAAGCTCTTTCTTTCTATGCTATTTGATCATATTTCAGATGACATCATAATAAAAAAATCCTAATAAGACTAGTTTACCTAACATGTGTCACGGTTACAGAAGTACATATTGTCTTCAATAGGCATTCTTTTCTTGATTTTTTCCTTTTTTTCTTCTCTTCATTCTTTCCTCTCACTCTTCTGAGATTTTATCATTCTTCATATGTATACAAAGATACATGCGTCTTTTTGTGCACGTGTCGTGCGCTATTCTATTCTATAAAAAGTGAAAGAAGTTAAGTTAAATCGAATCTTACTACTCTTCGTTTTTGTTTTCAACGGACAAAGAAAATTTTCGCTTCTAAATTAAAGTGCGTAGTGTGCTTAATGTTGAAACAACAATTATTCACGACGAACTACGTACTGTTTTCGGTGATGAAGCTCCTTCTTATCGAACAATTGCAAGATGGGCTCAATGGTTTCGTGAAGGTCGAGAAGAAATTGAAGATGAAGAATGATCTGGAAGACCTGTAACTGAGAGTACTCCTGAAAATATTGAAGAAATTCGTAGTATTGTTAGTGATGATCCTCATGTTACAATAGCAGAATTACAAGAATATACTGATCTAAGTTATGGTACCGTTCATAGAATATTATAAGATCATCGGGATCTTAGAAAAATTACTGCCTGTTACATACCCAAACAGCTAACGGATTATCAACGGAGTGAACGTGTTCGAATATGCAAAGAAAATCTGTCAAGCTTTACAGAAGGAGGATGGCGATTGTCTGACGTGGTAACAGGTGATGAATCGTGGTTTTTCCATCAGCAAACTGGTCGAAAAGTTTCCAATGCTGCTTGGGTGGCAAAAGACGATCCTCTGTCCACAATAGTTCGACGAAATAAGTTTGCTCCAAAAACTCTATTCTGCATTTTCTTTAAATCAACTGGTCCTCTTCTAATCCATCGTATCGAACGTGGACAAACTATCGATCACCAATATTACATCAAAAACTGTTTGCAGCCTGTTATCGAAGAAATCAAGAAACAAAGACCTCGTTCAGGTACTCATGCCATCAAACTTTATCATGATAACGGAGGACCACATTTTCATAAAGACGTACTCGATTATCTTCATTCAGAAAGAATTACCGTGGTACCACAACCACCAAATTCTCCAGATCTGTCTCCATGTGATTTTTGGTTATTCGACTTGATCAAACGAAATCTAACTGATCAAACAGACTCCGAATCGTTACACAACGCTATAACGGAGTTCATGTATTCTTTAGATAAAGAAGAGTACAGAAAAACGTTCGATAAATGGATTCAAAGAATGGAATTGTGTGTAGATAATCAGGGCCATTACTTTGAACATTTAATGAAATAAAACCTCTTGTACTTGTTTATATATTTTCAATTTTCGGATATGCTAATCTTAATAAACGTTAAAAGTCTCGAAAGAGGTGAGAGGAAAGAGTGAAGAGAAGAAGAAAAAAAGGAAAAAATCAAGAAAAGAATGCCTATTGAAGACAATATGTACTTCTGTAACCGTGACACATATTAGGTAAACTAGTCTTATTAGGATTTTTTTATTATGATGTCATCTGAAGTATGATCAAATAGCATAGAAAGAAAGAGCTTTTTTCGCTCTATCATCCTATGTAAAAAGAAATTTTTATCGACCTTAATATATGGTAATAAAATGTCGTTGCCACTACTTTTGGATACCCCTATGTAGATAGAGCGTCTTTCGCTCTATCTTTCTATGCTATTTGACCACTATTAAACTAATACTAATATCATAATAATAAAATTTCGATAAGAGCTATTTTTGTTGAAAACCAGCTGATAACATTTAGATCATAATGGGTGTGGTATATAAAATGGGACGCTTTTGCATTTCATTTTATTATCACTCCATACGTTGTATTAAAAAAAACAAAATATACCAGAAGATGCAGCGTGAAAAGCTCTACAATTAATAAAGTATCGCTTATTTTATAGTTGTACTTTTTGTTCTAAAAATGGACAAAACTCTGAGTTACCAAGTTTCGACGTGACGAAAACGAGACCTTTTTTTGGTAAAAAAACGAATTCGGTCTCTTTCTATCTTATCTTTGTATAGTTGTCCTTTGTAAATTGTAGAGCTCTTCACGCTGCACCTTGCAGTGTATTTTGCTTTTTAAAATAAAACATATCAAGTAATAAAAAGATGAGATAGGAAAAACGGAATTCATCTTTTACCAAAAAAACAATCTTGTTTTCGCAACGTTGAAATTTGACAGCTCAGAGTTTTGCCCATTTTTAGAACAAAAAGTACACCTATAAAATAAGCGGGACTTTATAAATTGTAGAGCTTTTCACGCTGCATCTTCTGGTATATTTCGTTTTTTCAATACAACATATTATGTAATAATAAAGTAGAATGCAAAAATACCACACTCATTATGAACAAAATGTTACCAGCTGGTTTTCAACAAAAATAGCTCTTATCGAAATTTTATTATTATGATATTAGTTTAATAGTGATCAAATAGCATAGAAAGAGAGAGCGAAAGACGCTATATCTATCCATAAAAAAAGAAAATTTTTTCAAGCTTTCTATACGAAAAAAAAAGAACCTCCGTCACTACTTTTGGATAACCCTAAGTACTTTTCGTTTTCATCCGGGAATTGTGGCTCCGAAACGCGTTTTGAGTAAGTGGAGAAAAGGGTTGTATACATTTCTTGCCATGGGAAACGCTGCGAAATGCGTTAAATCGGTCAGCATTAACACGTTTTGCAGTGAATGTACCCTAATTTTGTATTCCATGGAAGAACTTAGAGAAACTGCTATTTTCATCAAGTTGAATTGTCAATAATGGAGCTCGATATTTGACCGAAGCATTACGACATAATTCAGTGAGTCTCATCTATTTTCACTTGAATAAGATTTCTTCATGACTTTCACATAATAGTCAATCTCAAGTTTCTTTTTTTTTCATTTCGGAAAAATTAAAACTTAGGAAAAACTAGTATATTGTGTTGCTCTAAAGTCAATATATCATTTTCTAATTATCAATAATATTATCTATTATCTTTTGCTATCAGATTATTTCGACAATTGATCTGTCAGACAATGAAATCGATGACGATGGATTACACTATTTGACTGATGTATTAAAGAATAACACGGTAAATTTCCGTCGATATTTCTTCATTAATTTGTTGTTGCTCTTAATAGTCTGTTCATACATTAAAATTAAATAAAAATTCTATTACCGATATGGGAGCAACATATATAGCTGAAATGTTAAATGAAAACAAGGTAACAATCATTAATGATTGATTTTCGTGTACGTCTTTACTTTTTTCAGACTATTACTGTACTCGAACTCAATTCGAATAAAATTCAGGATAAGGGAATAGAAAATCTTGCTGATGTAATTATTAAAAATAATGTGAGTTCTTTCTTATCTTCTATGGATTTTTCAAATATAATTCTTTTCTTTAGACACTTAAAACACTCAGGTTAACGAGTAATCCAAGTGTTTTAAGTGTGGCATTAGAAACATTTGTAACCGTACGACATAACAAAGTATTTTCATTTTTCTAATATTTTTTTTTTCAACTCTTCAATATTTATTTTATACCACAGGAGTTGAAATGGTTACAGATATGTGGAAAACATATAGGAATAATTGGTGCAAAATATATTAGTCTCAGTTTACAAGAAAATACGGTTTATATAATTGATGATTATTTTCTAAAATATGTTTCAGTAATCTAGACTCTTACTGAATTAGATCTCACTTACTGCAATATTGGAGAAGAAGGGATGAAATATATCGCTGATGCGTTGAATTATAATAAGGTAAATATTCTTAAATTGATTGAATAAATTTCATTTTTCATATGATTCAAAATTAGGTATTAAGTAAAATCTGTCTTGTGCGCAATCAGCTTGGGAATGCAGGAGTTCAATATCTAGCTGATGCCTTACAACAGTATCCAGTATTTATTATATATTCAATTTATATTTGTTCTATTCTTTTTATTGTACCGATAGACTCTAGTTCGATTGAATCTTCAAGGCAATGGAATCGATGGCCAAGGAGCTCAATATTTAGCGAATATTTTAGAAACTAATATAGTTAATATCCAATGGTTATTATGCCTTAATATCATAGTTGCTTGTTCATTATAGGTACTTGAAGAATTACATCTTGATGACAATAGAATTGGAGAACAAGGAGCGAAACATCTTGCCGATGGACTTATTAAGTCAAAGGTAATCATTAGTTATACTTATTTGAATAATATTGTCTTGACATTATTCAAAACTAGAGATTAATCACACTGGATCTGACGAATAATCAAATTGGAAAGGAAGGAGCACTGTATTTGGCTCAAGCATTAGAACATCATCGAGTATCTATCAATTTTGAACTGTATCACTAATGCTGATTGTTTTTTTATCATACGACACAGACTCTCACTTCCCTTTCACTTGGAAATAATCATGTTGAAGATGAAGGAGCCCAATATTTAGCTAATGCTTTAGAAACCAATAAAGTAATTATCAATAGTTATTTGTTTTTCATTATCTTTTTTACCTATTGTAGGTACTTAAAACGTTGGTTCTCCGAAAAAATCAAATCGGAAATGAAGGAGCAAATTGTTTCGTCAGCGCACTCAAACATAACACGGTCAGATCTTAGATTATTTTAGTATTCGTCACTTCATTCTTAATTTAGAATCTGAAAAATCTCTATCTTGATGAAAATGAAATTACTGATGGTAAAGCTATTTCAGCTATAGTGACATTTAGAGATACTGTACGTACTGATGCCTCTTGAATATTATTATTGTTAGTTGATCATCTGTTTTCTAGAATTACGACTGTATTCGCCTCGATTTTTATGGAATGGGAGACAATTTAATCGATTTGTTTGCATTTGGTTTACAAAGAAATACAGTAATCATCCATTAATCTTTTGTTTAATATGTAATTTTACTGATTCTCTTTAGAATGTTCAACACATTACCCTTATCACAAATAAAATAGGTGATAGAGGTGCACAAATTTTAGCTTCGTTAATAAAAAATTCAACGGTAATTATGTTACTTGATTGATATATTCCATGATTTTGTAATGAATATCGGTAATAGAGACTCATCAGCTTAGATCTTCGATCAAATCATATTGGAGATCAAGGGGCTTCTTATCTGGCGGATGCTTTGATAAATAATACAGTAATATAGACTATTTTATAATCTTGATAGTTTTTGTTTCACAATTTGTTTTTCAGACAATGACTACACTTAAACTTCGTGGAAATGAAATCGGACCATCGGGCACAAAGTATTTGATAGATGCTCAACAAAATCGAACAGTTAGTCCTTGTTAATCCTTTCAGTTTTGTTCATAAATTTTTAAATTACATTTAGACACCTATTGAACTAGAAATCAACGGTAAGCATATCGAAGAAATTTGATTTCAAATTTTGAACATTTTTTAATGAAAATATTATAAATCTCTCAGTTCTTCACCATCATTAGTGTTCCACTTTCACTCAATGTTATCATTGATCACGTCAATACAAATATTGGCAATTGAATATTATCTATTATCCAAAAGGAAAAAGGCTGATCTACAGATCTTTACAGTCAGTAGAATCACATGAAATATGTGCATATCTAATATCATGTAATTCTATGATTGTAGACATAGATCCATCTGGTCGGGAACCTAGTCTAACTGGGTGCTAGTCAGCTCTGTTCAGTGTTCAGTACACTAGCCGTAAATTAATTTGATAATTAGAAAAATTTTCGACATCGAGAAACTCGAATCTAATATCAGTTTCTTAAAAATTTTAACTTAACTCTTATGGAAGAAGTATTATTTTAACAATAATAGATTGCCTTTTTCTTCAGTAAGAAAGTAATATCTTTTTTTTACGAAAACAGTATATTGGAAAGAAAATTATTTTCATTGTTAAATAATATTTTTTAGTAAAAAGAAGTTAAACAAGATCCAGAATACCCAGTCCGATTAAACTGATGCTTCCATAAGTTAATTTAGTGATTATAAGCGATTCTGATTATCTTGAAGGTCTGGAAGCAGCTTTTCTATATAGCCTCACAGTTAGTGGGATCACGCAGAATCAATAGAATCAGCTTTTTCCCTCTTATTATTATCTAATAAAGTTTAGAATAGAATCATATTGACGAGTTGAACAAATTCAATTGTTTTCACTGATTTTTTTTTGGATCGTGCTATCAAGACTACTCTTAGTAGCACAATCTGAATATCTAAACACGTCTTTTATCTGGAAATTTCTATACATAGTACTTGCGAACAACTTACAAAATTCTGTCTTTACGGGCGTCATTAACACATCGTTAGAAGAACATATGCATACTATTGAGGATAAAAATAGTAAAAGAGAACAATGGATTATGTAGGATATTGCATTCACTATTCAAAATATGTTCAACATTGTATTGTTATTATATATTCTAATATTAAATAGTGTGTTTGGTAGAAGGTATTTATAATAATGAAAACAATTTTAGTTATTATTTAATAGCACATTTATCTATCGTAATCATACTTTTTCATCGAAGATGAAAACAAATATAAAAATTATCTGTTTGAATTCGATTTAGTTCAGATTGATGTCACAAGAGATTTTATCAAATTTGATCTACTACCAATTCTTTCAAAAAATTTTCTTTCTGAACATTAGAATTTTCTATCAACTATGTTAAAACAAGTAACCTTCATTGATATCGAAGATCGATTCACTGAGCCCTAGACTGACGGATGGATGAAAACCATATGGTTTTATTTTTCGGGTTACTTGTGCCGTGGAAATGGTCATTAATGCCATAGAGAAAGGGTCATTTTTACCATAGAAACGACCGTTTGTGCCATAGAAACGGTCATTTGTGCCAATCCCTTGTTGCAGACAGACAGACAGACACAAGTGAATGACAGTTTCTGGACCCTTGCCTTTCAATTTAGGGAATATGTGTCCATAAAATTAAATAAATATTAGAAAATAAAGTTGTTGATTGTCTATTACTA